ATATTGCCATCCAGCCCAACCAAACTCAGTCAATAAGTATATATTGCCATCCAGCCCAACCAAACTCAGTCAATAAGTATATATTGCCATCCAGCCCAACCAAACTCAGTCAATAAGTATATATTGCCATCCAGCCCAACCAAACTCAGTCAATAAGTATATATTGCCATCCAGCCCAACCAAACTCAGTCAATAAGTATATATTGCCATCCAGCCCAACCAAACTCAGTCAATAAGTATATATTGCCATCCAGCCCAACCAAACTCAGTCAATAAGTATATATTGCCATCCAGCCCAACCAAACTCAGTCAATAAGTATATATTGCCATCCAGCCCAACCAAACTCAGTAACTTGTAATGGCAAGGGGACACAACCCTTTCATTCTCCCTATAATTTTCAAAACTGACATTGCTTACAATATAATTTTAGGGAGGCAATGTATCTTCTGATGATGAAGAAAGAGGTATGGGCTTGCCAATATGTTTGAGTTCTTTTCTTCATTATGAGCATCTGAGATAGAATGAATATACGAAGTTCATATATTTTGAACTGCAGTATTTCACAAACGTCAGGGTCGTTGGTTTCAAAACTAATTACCACGAGAGACTTTTCCTTGAAGCCTGGCACTCCACTTTGAATCCGAATGCGGGGAACCATCACATCGTACTTCCAGAAGCCTATAAAGACCTTGTGCGAACATCAAATACATAGTTAGGCGCGCAAGCTTCGCGTCACGTTTTTAACTTTAAATAGCGTATGATAACGATCTTCGTTTTTCATATCACTGATGAAGGCTTAAGCATTAGCCGAAAAGTCTGTTTCAAAAAATAACAACAGTCAGAGGCAACCAATTTCTATAAAACTCTTGACATCTCCTAACTACACTTTTTCCATTTTTAAACATATTGTAACAGAATTAATATGGAAACTGTTTTAGCCTCATCAGTCTGGAGATAATAGTTAACTAACGATAATGGTACAATAACAGCAAATGATACATGTGCATTGTGTTTTCCACAGTCCCTGCACCCTTTGGTTCAGCCATGGGTATATTTATGGCACCCTTTAACACTATGCCAGGTGTTTTGAGTGGTTTTCACCCAATGTTTGGAGCAGGACTACCATTTACTGCAGGTTACCATGGCTTTCCATATCCTCCACCAACCACTCACCGTGTAACATCACCCAACGTGGTGACAGAAGATGACTTTCAGACAATGATTCAAGTGCATAGAAAGAGAAGGCTATCAAATGAGGTACTGTTGCCCATCATTTTGTGTCTTTCTGTTGTTCTTTTACCTACTATTAATAAGACAGGCTTACCAAAAAAAGATAACCTTGAAGGACACTACAAGTATACTGCATCAATAATACTTAGTCATACTGCAATCATACTTCAACAATACTTCAATAGTACTGCACTTACATAAGAACAACTGCACTACGATTTTTGAAGTACACTTAAAGTATACTGCTCAAGTTAAATCATTTTCGTTGTTGTTGATGTAGGGTACAAGTATACTTAAAATGTCATACACAAATTCAAATCATGTTCAGGTCTGATTAAGTAGGAAATAACTATACTGGAAAGGTACTTAATATGCTTCAGTTGATAATGATCATAATTACTTTAAACGTCTCACACAAATGTAAATCAAACTCAGGTCTGATTAAGTAGGAAATAACTATACTGAAAAGGTACTGATGCTTCAGTTGATAAATTAGCAGTGTTTGTTTGTGTGTC